CCTAGAGCTATACACGCGCCAGGGCACGTGGTTGGCGTCTTGGGACGTGGGGTCGGGGTCTTTCCTCGAAAGCTACAGGAAAGTCTAGAGGCATCCCGCTGGCGTGTTTTTTGTTTTTCCCCAACAGCTGAAAGCTTTGGGGTCTCAGCCCAGATAGGCTCCGGGGTGGTCCGGGGCGGCTGTGAGGTAAGGTTCTACGAGGGTTCCACCAGGGTTCCACCGCGTGCTGTTGGGGATATCACCTGAGCTTATTGTTTTGAGTAGAAGCGACGGGAAAGCTCTTACCCCCAAAAAGGGGATGGGCTTAGGAGCAAACCCCCTCAAGACCCACTGAAACCGGGTGCCAGCTCTTTCCTCTGGAAAGCAAAAATGGGAAGTCTAGAGGAAATATCCATTCCATGGCGAACACAGCGGGCACTTGGCCAAGGTGCTCTAGAACATTTATGCCTGTGCCTGGTTTCTCTGAGTCTTGGCGTGGAAAACGCGGCTCCAAGATGGTTAAGGGACTTGGGGTCATAGGTGTCCAACTGAAGAAAAAAAACACTGAACTGAGTAAGATGGTTATGCCTGGAGTCTCCATGGCCCGAATCAAAAGTAGGTCCATGACCCCATTATGAAGGGCATGACCAACCATTTTTAAAGGGTCATGGAGACTCTAGATAAAGGTTCTACACATCGCGACTTGGGGTCATACAAGCGAAATGAAACCATGTGGTTGAAACCACAACGGCTGGGTGGTGCAGGATTTCGTCCATCAGTCGGCCCGAGTGTATCCAACTGAAAAAAACATTCCTTGAGGTGTTGCTGCGGGTAGTGCAGAGGCGTCCTGTTGGTTGAACATAGATAGTCCTGGTAGTTTCTGAGCGCCATCGATTTTTCTCTCAACGCAACAAAAAAGGACACCTATGGTGGGGAAAATGGGGCAAGAGTGGGGGGTTTGGAGGCTTGGGGTGGGGTTGGGTTTGGAGGCTTGGGGTGGGGGTTGGGGAGGTTGAAGGCAAAGGAAAACCAGAAATCAGAAGGACTTGGAGCGAACTTCTTAAAAAAAGAGTCCCTAGTTTTTTGCGGGATTTGGAGTCCCCCACGTCAAGGACACACACACATTCCCTTGCAACGCTTGATCCTTCCCAAAAATCGAAAATGAAACGACACCTGGGAGGGCGGTTGGGAGTGGTGCCTGGTAGAAGGGAAACTGAAGATGTGTGATTGAACCCAGCCTGAAAATGTGGCCGCTCAAAATGGTCGGAAACCCTCGACATTTGTGGGTGAGATGCTCCTTCAAGTCATGCCGAGTCATGCCAACAACATGGTGACACAGAATGAAACACCATATCAACTCAAACGTGGTAGAACACGACACATGTGCCTGTGCATGGGCGCGATTCTCATGTGCTTGAGCTGCTGCTAGCCCGCTGTTGCAGCAGAGTTGTTTTTGGGGTTCTGTTTGGTGGACATACTGTGGATGGATGAAATCCTGTTCGCACCACCTAAACAAACAATGAAATGATGATTCCCCCTGGAATTTGCTTCTTGAGATCCTCAACCATTCCGACTTAACTCCGCTTGCAGGTGTTACCCATGGTTCAGTTCAGGTCCTTCGCAGTCCATGGTTCTTATGTGTCCTACATGAAGCCGTCTGCACGATCTGCCTTTGCATCGGTGGATCGTTCGCATAGCAACCCATCTTCCCCCCTTAGTGGGATTCTATGTGTATCAAGGCACTTACATTGCAGTGCGGTTGCCCTAAGCATTGCAAGGAGGGGAACAAGGCAAGCCTCCCTAAATACAAACATCTCCCATGGTTGTGGGGTTCAACCTTGGTTGACGTTGGAAGCTGAGGAAAAGTTTAACATTTAGCAGTTCAAAAAACAAATCCACTAAACCACAATAAGCAAACATGTTTCCCAACGACAGCCATGCAATGTGGCTGGTTTCCTTGACACCTTCCGTTGGCATTCGCCGTCAACGCATCAGCCTGGCGGAGAGCCACGGCGGCACCAGATGAGGCTCTGACGTAGCAGCCTCAAGGGATCGAACCCCTTTGGAACATGTTGCTTGCTTGGCTGGTGAGGGACCATCAACACCCACAAACTAATCAACAGAACACCCAAAACCTAACTTGCCCAAAGGGCCCAAACATAAGGTTAACCTTTGAGGCCAGTACCCAAACATAAGGTTAACCTCTTGGGGCGATGACTAAACATGACCAAACAGGGGACACTAACAAGTCAAACGTTCGGCTGTGGACAACTGAGAACAGGTAACCAGTTGTACAGTCTGGATGGTCAGGGTCCTTTCAAATGTCTCATTTCCTCTCCTGCTGATCATTTTGAGACAAACCCATACGGGGGTTGATCAATGTTTCTGGCCCCCAAATCAGCATGGGTAGCTACCGGGTAGCTTTTCGCATTTGGTAGCACGTATCAACTTTTTACACATGTAAAGGATCTTTTGATCAACCCCCACATGAAAGTTTCTCAACATCTTGGACTTCTCTTAGCCAAAGGGCATGCAAAAGGACGCCAAACATTCCGATTCCTTCGAGAACGCGGCAGGGCACAAAGGAAGCAATCATTCGTTTGGACATTTCATGGGGCGGGGGAGGGGTGCAGGGACCCAAGTCTTTGATTCCGCCCTTAAGACCTTATTTGGGCTCCCTCCTCCCTCCCCTCCCTAGCCGCTTGGAAAGTCCTGAATTCATGGCACAGGCAACCCCACCCAAGAAACTCCCTTGATTGGGATGGTAGATTCAGCGCTTGCCAGCCGCTCCACACTTTCCCCGCACCAGGACAAAGTCAAACATCGCTTGGAGAATATGACTGTTCGAATTCCAGCCTTCAAAGCTACGAAGAACTAAAAGAAAGGAAAAGGCGGGAGTTCCACTTTAAACTTGTTTGGATGCAAATTCAGACCTTTTCAGTATATGAAAGGTAGTGTCAACTACCCTTGGAGCATCCTGTCGTCAAATGAATCCGTCCGGTCATCCGTCACAATCCAAGCCAGGAATTCTGCTAGGCCTTGGCTTGCTCCCCCAACCCTACGGATCTCTGAGTTAGACCAGACCTTGCCCATCTTTTTCTATAAAAAAACCTAGGACCCCCCCCCCCACACTTTTAGCAACATTTTAAAACAGCACCTCAAACAGCACATTTTCAAAAATCAACATTTCAAAGCAGGCAATTTCCTAGTAAGTTCATCCATATTTTAAAATATAAATTTTAAAATATAAATTTTAAAAAATAAATTTTCAAAAAAATATATTTTTTTTTTAAAAAAAAAATATTTTTTACAAAATTTTAAAAAATAAATTTTAAAAAAATAAATTTTAAAAAATAAATTTTACAAAATTTTAAAAAATAAATTTTACAAAAAAATAAATAAATTAATAAATTTTACAAAACAAATAAAAAAAATAAATTTTCAAAAAAATATTATTCCAAAAATTATGATAAATTATTATACAATAAATTTTATCACAAATTTTGTAGACATATTATGGGCAAGGTCTGGTTCATTCGTTTTTTACGGGCACCATTCTTCCTTAATTCTTTCTATTATTTTATCACACGTTGTTTCATTATAAATATTACTTCCTATTTGTTTTCTAAACATTCCCATTATTCCAATTGCACGTGTTATTGTATATCAAAGTTCGTGAGTTTTATACTCATCATTTAAAAACTCGTTTAAAAAATCAAACAATATAACATATTTTAAACGTTTAATATTAAAAGAAACGTTATATAATTTTTTACCATACTATAATACTTAAAAATAAAATCATTATTATATCCTTCGTCATCACACTCAGATAGTAAAATATCAAACCCTTCTATAGTTAAGAAATTATTCATTACAATAAACACAAATATTTCTAAATCATCATCAAGAGTTTCATTATTTATAATATCAATATCTTTGTTATTCATATCATCAATTTTGTTTATAATTCTATTGCAATTATTGCATATCATGTAATGACAAATATTATTACAAACGCCATTTGTAAAACCGCGTTCAATTGGTAATTTTAGCATTTCGCAGTCTTTGCATTTATAACTCATAAACCTTTTTTTCAATATATTTTTAGCATCATGGACTGTATCACTCATCAAACTATATAATAGTATTATAAAATATTTCTTTAAATACTTTTTACAAGAATTTTAATTTTAAATTAAATTTCATTAATAAATTAAAATTAAATTAGGTTATGTAGATAAAATTTCATAATTTAAGTTCGGATAATAATTTAATTGATAATGAAACAAATTTCTATATTCTTTACTTCTTTCACACATCCCTGATGTCTAAATCACACATCCCTGATGTCTAAATCGCACATCCCTGATGTCTAAATCGCACATCCCCGATGTCTAAATCGCACATCCCTGATGTCTAAATCGCACATCCCTGATGTCTAAATCGCACATCCCTGATGTCTAAATCGCACATCCCTGATGTCTACATCGCACATCCCTGATGTCTAAATCGCACATCCCTGATGTCTAAATCACACATCCCAAACTCGTTTCTTTAATCCACCAAACTCGTCAAAATTTCACAAATCAATTCAGCAGGTATTTTGTATAAATCTTCCTGCTTATGTATTACATGATTATCCCCCATTCTGCTTTAGTTTTTGATGGCAATCGTTCCAACTGAACCTGTGCCTGAAAATAATTCTAATAAATTCATATTGTTTATTAGAATGATTTAGATAATGTTTTAGAAATATACATATTTATCATCTTCCTTAATAATCTTATAGTATTCTAATGTTTGTTCTTTTGGACTTTTGATTTGTCCCTTATTTAACATATCACAATATTTTTTACGCTTCGTGTCATAATCACCGCTGGGTCTGCCTATCCCTTTCTTTTCAAAAATTTTATCAATCTTTTCCTTCTCTTCATTGTTATCTTTTGGTTCGTTTGCCTTTGCATCAAGTTTCTGGTCAATAGTTTTTATCATCTCGTACAACAGTTTAACATTTTTACTAACTGTCATTATCTTCTTTGATAGTTCAACAATAACATCATTTTCAACTTCAGACATTTCTATATATATTTATTTATATAATTATTTATTTAAATATTTATTTATTTATAAAATTGATTTAATGTAAAATCTACCCTTTAAATACTAAATTTTCATTATTTGTTTAATAGTTTCCGGAGTTTCTTTATCACCATTTTCCGAGTGTGTAGCCTCATTTCCAAATTTGATAGAAATATTATGCACATCTGTTTCTAGATTGATAGCGTCCTTTGTTTTATCAATATTCATTTTTTTATCTGTTTTACTTATTTTAAAACCAACTGGTATACAACTGCATTTACAATTTCCTTTCTTTTGTATTTCTAATTCATTCTTCATTTGTAACATCTTTTTACACATAGGACACTCAAACTCGGTTAGTGCTGTTTCCTTAACAATTTCTTCTTCTTTGTCTTCATCTGTTGAAGAAACTGTAGTATCCGTTTTATTCTTTTTGTTTTTCTTTTTTCCCATTTATATTAATATTTACATTTTTATTTTTGATATATTGTATTCCTAATTTTATTAATTCCAATGTATAAAAGCATACTTTCTTACATCTGTTGTCAGTTATTATCACTTGTTCTATATTCTCTACTTCATCTATTATATCAATATAATCTGAATAACTTCTATCCATATTAAATAATAAGATAAATTATTCTAATTAATCTTATTATTTCATGCATAATAGAATATTGGTGGGGCACAGCACTTGGGTTTTTCATTGCACACGCGAGCAAGACACAAAACTAATTATCTTCAATGCTTATTGATTGAAGCAATGGAAAACCTGTTCCATTATGTTATTCACCGCCACTCATAACATAATGATGTTCCATTTAATATTAATTACAAGTTAATTTTTAAATATAATTTTCTATATTTCTTTAATATCAACTATGACAGATGTCCCAATAATAAAACCAATAAACATAACTGAATATGAATTCAAACAATCTAAATATGAGCACGTGCCAAAATTACCATTTAGAAGTATTATAGTTGCGAGTTCGACGGGGGCAAAACAGTTTTAGTTCAGAATCTTATTTTAAATGTTTATAGAAATTCATTTGCAAGAATATTTATATTTTCCCCCAGCGTTCATAATGACCCAACTTTTACAGAAGTTAAAAAATACATCAGGGATGAATTGCACGTAGATGATGAAAAAGAACAAATATATTTTGATAATTATAATCCAAGTGATTTAGAAAATGTAATTGAAAGACAGAAGAAAATAATTAATTATATGAAATCTAAAAAGATAAAGAAACTGCATTCAATATTAATCGTTATAGATGACCACGCAGACGATCCTAAATTTGTTAGATATAGTAAATTATTACATGGATTATTTACAAGAGGTAGGCACGATGCAGTAAGTGTAATTTGTTCAACACAAAAATATAATGTTTTAGCGCCTATCATTCGTTTAAATGCCAGTTCATTATATATTTTTAGGTTGAAAAATGCAAGTGAGTTAATGAGTTTTATTGAAGAAAATAGCGCCATTGTTGATAAACAGCAATTATTAGATATGTATCATCAAGCCGTTAATGACGCACCTTATAGTTTCTTCTACGTGAATATGAATGCTAAAGACATTAACAAAATGTTTCATATCAGATTTGAACAGGCATTTCAAATTACAAATGATGAATAAAGATATTCTAATTTAATATAATATAATAATATGGTTATAAAACAATGTAGATGTGGTGGATTTTATCGTAGAGGTAATTATAATTTTCATACTAATTCTTGGATACATAAACTTTATAAGGTATTGAAAAGAAGGGCAACAGACGAGGAATTATTACGATTTCAAAATATTTTTGTTGATGAAGAAGATTTAATAGATGATAGATGTAGCAATGCCTCAACGAAATTACCCGATAGTGAAATGACAGATTATGATAGTAATCAATAATATTAATTTGTTTTAATATTATTAATTTAAAATAATGAATAATTACATA